GTTTGCGGCAGCGCGGGTGGTGAGGGCCTGGGCAGCCGCGGGGGTCCCGGGCGGGATTTGAAGCGCAAACCCGAAACCGGCGCAGTTTTGGGGGGCGTCTCTGCGTGGCTGCAAGTCACGGAGCTCAGCAGCACTGGTGGAGTGCCTACGCAAGGAAGCTGGTTCCGAAATGGATCGCTTTTCCCTAGCAGGCCGCGAGCCGCGCCGCCAGAGCGCTCCGCGGAGTAGGTGTGAGCTGGCGCTGGGGTCCGCGCGGGTGCGGGGCTTCCTGTTACCCCCGTTCAACAGCTGAACCGTCTCCGTTGCGAACTGCGCTAAGGGACGTGTCTTGCAGCTGATCCCATAACCTCCCTGGTGGTGAAAACGTATCCCATAAACTAGAAGGACGCATAAGCAGAGAGCACTAGCAGGAAGATAAATCCCCTCTTTTTTTTCTCCATTCCCAAATGAAAAAATACCGTAAACCTCTCTGCTGATGCTTCGGTCTGTCAGCGGCGTTTTTTTCGCAGATGTTTTAACAACATTCTTCCTACCGTTCCAGACCTGAAGGCACTCGTGTGTATACAGTCCTGAACTTTATACTCCAATTATCCTAGTTATTCTAATAAGGTATATTACAGCTCCTTCAAAGCTTGCATTGTTTTCATGACACTGTAAGCGCCTATTAAAGCAATATGAAAGGCATCTTAGAGCATTTGAAAGCTTTACAAAGAAAAGCTTTCTCACTTGAGAAAGCCTACTCACTTGAGTTTCTAGTTATTTCTAATATCTCTTTTAGTCGTATTTGGCAACTGCAGACTCTTTGGTATTACAGAATAACAGCTTTTCTTTGAATTAAACCAATATCTTGTGATCGACGCATTTTCATGATAAATTAAACATTTACCTGCGGTTCTTTAGCCGGTCACTTATTTCTTAGCTGGAGGAGAGTAAAAAGACATGATACAAAAAAAAAAAAAAGAAGCTGTAGGCTATAACCGTCACATGCTGGTGTACCCTTGGCGCATGCGCAGCTGGCTGGTCACGTGCCCCTTAGAACTACAGCTCCCAGCATGCCCTCCTGTGCAGTTACTACGCATGCGCCACCGCACGGGTCGGGGGCTCCTGCCCCGGCGGACTACAGTTCCCGTCGCTCGCCGCGGGCGGCCCGCAGCCGGTGCCGCGTTTGCCCCGGTTCCCGCCCCCCCCCAACCCCC